AATATTTTTAAATTTTTTCTGCTGTTGTGGTGTCTAAGCATACTTGCTGGTGCTCTGTGTGTTGTCGGATGGGGAAGAGGCAGTGCATTTGGGACCGCTAGGCTTCCTGTGCAGGGTCAATTAAATACTGCATGAGACAGAGCACTAAAAGCCTGTCCCGTGAGGAGCCGAGTGCTTTGTGCGTGTGCGATTCCTATACGTGTGTGTTGGAGCATCAGCGAGCAGTGGCTTGATTAAATCTGATGAACCAGCAATGTGCAGAAAACCAATGATCTTGAGTCTAGTGTTTTCAGTTCCTTATTATCAGCCTGGACCTCCATAAGTGCCATAATGAAAGAAGATGTGCATCTGGTATATTTGAGCACTTTTTATGTAAAGTATAGTGAAAAATTTCAAGCTGTCTTTTTATTGGGGACAGCAAAGTGACTCATAACATGAAAGTCCAACTGGTTTCAAATCTCAGACTGTATGTAAGGTCCCATATGACTGGGTTGTATTCACCTGGTTGTCCTGTTTCCTCTGTCAATATACAACCTGGGCCATGTACCCCACTTATGGATTTCAATGAGCCAAATGTCCCTACAAAAACTGTAACATACCTAAAATAGCAATAATGTAATAGCAATTGCATTCAGTTCTACAAAGATGGCTGTCTGTAAACATAAATATGTTAATTATTATAGTTGTCAGTATTTTTTAGTGCCAGTTTTTACATTCAATTTAACTGGGGTCATTTTTAACAATATGAAATTAAAATAACTTTAATGATTCTAATTCAATCCGGATTCTAATTAAATTCTAAGTCAATGATCACATTGGGTTGTTCAGAGTCAAACCTCAGTCAGTAAAAGCATGTGGTGTTGAGCAAAGTTCAGAAATGTGACAGTGTTTGTGCTGAATATCACTAGAGGTTTATTTATTTGGGCTTGTTCCAGTATCTTATTATTGAATTTATTCATTTTTCAGAAGAAACCTTAAAATTGAAAAAAAGGACACATTGTGTTATCAGCCAGCCTTACTTATTCATACCGCCCAGCTTAAATGCTTACTAAAATGTTTTTGGCCATCATTGTATATTGATGATTTAGTTTTTCACTGTTTATCTTGAACAACTACCTCCATATTCAGAGCATCCAAATGAGGCCTTATTCAAACTCAGAGCTTAAATCAGGTCAGGTAGGAAAAGAAAACATCCCGTTTACAGGCAGCAGTGCTGCACTGTTACTGCTGGTACACAGTTTATGTGGGTTAGCGGCTTCAACACTTTGAAGCAGTTTCGTCAAGTCAAGTTTGACATTTTCCAGGGAACTAAAGGCCGAGGTGTGCACAGTGTAGTCAGCAAGGCCAAGTCCTTCCCATTGGTCAAAAGTTAGTCACAGACAATGAAAAAAAAATAATACTGTTTGTAGACTTTCCAATGTGCCACATACTGACATCTCAAATGGTTTTTTGTCTCTACCTCCACATTTAACATTTACTATCTTCCATCAGACTTCAACAAGTAATTTACAACTTGATCTCCAAATTTCAAAGTACTAAACAAAAACAAAAAAATCCATACTGTGATAGTTAAAGCCTTATAATAAGAAACTGCTCCAGCCTAAAGTTGAGAAATAAATTAACATATGTGAACTATATAGAGCTATTAAAACAATCATGTTCAAAGTTATCACCTTGAACAAACAGCAGATGGATAATGTTTCTGAAAGTCTATTTATAAACACTGGGGTCTGACAGGGCCTTATTATAGATGGCAGGAGACACAGTATCCTGAGGTCATATGATGGAGAGGAGGGTGGAGCTGGGACAGGATACAGAGGAAGCAGAGGATGGAGAATATGTGTGGTGCACTCATCGATCCACTGGTCTGCTCTGGGTTCACTTTCAGGAGACTGTAGATCCTCATTTTTAGCTATGATTAAAGTGCATGCAGGAGCATTTTGTCATGATGTTTGTATTTTTTGTTTTTTTTCCTCCAATATGGCTTATACTTTTCATGGTTTTTTGGCATGTGAACTTGTTCATATTTTAATTTATTCATGGAAAGCCCAAAATTTACACAATGCATGAAACTAAAACTAAACAATGTACATATTTCAGTGTAACTAGGATTTGGATAATGTATCATTTGGATAATGATAATGATTTTGACTGTCATCCAGAAATAATTTTCACTCAGGCCAAATCTGAAGCCTTGGAAACCTTTGAAACCTTTTCTACCTTGGACCTAAGGGATTACACTTAAGACTTTAATTTTTAAAGTACCAGCTATCAATGTGCAATGAGCACTGGACCCCTGTAAAGAACAAAGTGGAGACAATTTGCATTCTTTTTGCTTTAATGAATTGATATAGTGAGAATCAGGATAAGACACAGACATGGAGAAAATTGACCAATCAGGGCCAGTTATATGCAAATGATACAGTGATCACATGCTTAACTTCTGGAAATGGTATGCATAGAGCTCGGCAACCCAAAGTGTTTAAATGTAGCCCATGCAAAGCTTGAAGCTGAAGATCAATATTTACAACCAGTTCATTATCTTAGGAATTAGCATATGAACACTTATACATTTATAAACAGCTGCAGACAAAAACTGCAGACACAAACAAAAACTGTCCCATTTTTCACTCACCGCTTCTGCAACCATGAGATCTGATTGACAATAGAAAGGTGTGCAACATCTGTGTGAAGACTGAAGAACACTTTAAACTTTAAAGGAGCTGTGGACAATGTCCCTCAGATGTGCCTCAGTGCATACGGCACCAACAGGCTCAGAACCTGCTTCAATCTCACTGCGGGGAATTCATCAGAAGTCAGTGAACTTTGACAATCTCCTCCTGCCTCTCCACTCTGCACCCGGGGCCGGTCAGGGAGGTGTGAGGACAGAGCTATATTTAGACAAAAAGTCTGCTTGAAATTGTTTTTTTTTGTTTTTTTTTAGTCTTGTACATACTCTGCTCATTTGCATAAAAGTTGAAATGTGCTGCAATAACTAAAACACTGTACTTGATAGAGGTGCATTCGTAAAACTATGGACATGACAATAAAAATAAATTGAGATGGTGTAGGATAGTGCATTTCTAATTTCTTCTTTATGTTTTTTACAACAGTGTCCACATTAATTTAACATCGCATTTAACATTTTATAATAACCAAAAATTGTATAAGACTTCAACATGATCTTGAAATATATGCTCATAGTATCGAAAATTGTGCTCTACTGTAGTGTTTGGAGACAATGATGGGACATGTAAGTGCATTACCATGTATGTGCACCAACATAATTGCAACTTAACATGAAATCTCTCATCATAAATTTTGAAATTGTAATTGACTACAATCAGTTATTTTGTTTCCTTTTTGATTCCACTACCTTGTATGTTTCCTAGCAATAGACATCTTTAAAGTCCAGCAGATCTAGCCTTAAGTCATTTTCACAAAAAGCTCCAGTGAAGTGGACTTAATTCTGCAGCAGTCAAAGTTGAATAAGGTTGACCAAGACTGTGTAACATAATGGAGGGCAGAGCAGGGTCTTCATGTCTCGGGGCACTGTGCTGAGTGAGTGTGGGGAGAGGAGCAGGGACATGAGCAGGGACAGGCAAACGGGCAGGCACAGGAGCAGAGAGAAGCTGGCTCTAGCTGCTCCTCTATACACTTCCATCCAGAGTCTGATTAAGACTTCTGTCCTGATGGACGAAGCGCTGCTGCTGACTCACTGTGTTTCTCTGGGAGGACTCTGACTGGAGCGGGGCTTGGTCATAATGTAGATGTACAGAGGATGCATTTGCTGGAAGCTGATTGGTAAACACAAAGCAATCTTACAAATTATTTAAGAGGAATTGATTTTAATTAAAGCTGCATTACTGGATTCATTCCTTGTTGCCACCTGGTATTAGGACAAAATAAAATGTAACTAGCATTTCCAGTACCAGTAAGTCTGTGTGGGGTTTTATACAGTAGGCCTACATGTTGAGTTTACTCTCGGTTCTTCTTTTTGCCAGTGGATTAAAACAATTTGACAAAGCTTTGTGCATTATGATGTTTGAGGATCTTATCCTTTTAAAATGTATAATGTGCAGTTAGGGTATCTGCTTATCTTGCCAAGTAATGAGCTTTTTTGATTGTTTTAATTAAATATGTTTTGTTTATGAGATAGAAAAGTAAAACCTGAAGAATTAGCTGGAGTGACAATGAGAAAATCCTGTGCCATCCAAGAATATTCCACTTTCTATTTTTTTCTATTTCAAATTTACTATATTACAGGTGTTTTTATTGCTTGCTTGAAAAGAGAATAATCTGGAATGTATGTAATGCATATGCTGAATGCCATGCTGTGGAACATTCCAGGCAAAGCAATATCATCTCCATGGAGACAAGCAAGTGGCAGACCCTTCACATAGTGCATCTTTAATTGTCAAAGAATCATTTTGGTTAAGGGGAGCACGAAACCTCTTCCTCATTTTGCATTCCCTCAGCCTCTCTAATTGGCACATGAAAGCCAAGGACACGTTTCTTTTCCATTGTTTACATGTTGTTGGCATTTAGTTACATAACTCTACAGTCTTTGTTCTGCTGTATTTATAGATCTATGTTCTATGAAAATGCCTTAAAAGTCTGCGTTACCCTATTATGAAAGTGGGGGCTGAATGGGTGCGCTTCATCACGTTGTCAAAGTTGCATGCACTTGGATAGACAGTATTACCGGTGTTATGAAATGTTAGAAATTATGCATTATATTGTATAGGCAGGAGAACCATACCACTTCACTGTTACGGGCGTGTACGGAGGCTACTGCAGTCAGGGGCATCAATTTTGTATAGGAAATGGCTGTTGGAGCGCTCAGCAACGTCAGCTGTGAAGCACTTAGCATCTTTCTCGCTCACCCCGTTAACCACAGTGGGATAACGGGAGGAGGTGGGTCCGCCTTTCTCTGTGCAATGGGGGGAAGAGGAGGAGGGTGGGAAGAGGAGGAGGGAGGGCGCGCTGGCAGCACAATCATGTCAGCCTCAGATTCGAGTGCTACGGGACTCATCGGTAACAAGGTACGCTCCGGGTCTCCTTTTGGTGTTTGCTTGCTCCCCCCGTGTAAACAGTATGTCAGTTGTTGCCTCCTCTCTTCCCCTTTCCCCATCCCCTCGCACTTAAGTCTCATCTTCTGCACTTTGCGGTGCGTCCCCTCCTCACTTCGTAGCGTCTTCCTCCGGCGATATGAACATACCGTACTGCTGCCGGGCTCAACTTTGTCCACGCGCAAGGCTGACTTTCAACTTTTTATTCTAACATGCTGTTGATTAGCAGTTTGCATTTAAAAAATCACATAATGTTAGGCTACTTGTGCTGAGATTTAGGCCTTGTGTTTGGTTTAAACTTTTGGCACTGAAATTACATGTTTTTTTTTTATTTTTTTTTTTATTTACAATTCTTTGGCTTGTATTATTTTCATTAATTTTCAACATCTCAGTGTATTTATTCCATGTGTTGTGTGCACTTGAGTTTTGTTATAGTTTAGTTGAGTTGTTTACACTCCGTATGCTGTCCCCTCCTGGTGGCTCTCCGCTGCTGCACAGTCATTAGCTCATGTTACAATCATTAATAGGGACTTCCAGTATACCGAGATTGCTAACCTACTCAGTGACTCGTTTCTTCTTAGCCACAAAGGCAATCATTGTTACTGTTTCTGTCTTCATAAATATAAACATAAAAAAATATAAGATCCAAAGCTGCATACAAATAGATCACTGAACTACTGAAAACCATTTGAATTATTTCTTAGCTGATAATGATCTAGCTATAAATTCACAAGTTATGTATTATTAAAATAAATAAATATTCACGTATACATGTTTACTATGTGTATACCGCAAATTACAAACTTCAAAACTTACATTACAGTTATTATGATTCTGACTCTTTTTGTCTTTTTTGTCTTTCTCTTTTTTGTGAAAGAATCCAAAGCGCTACACCTATATAGACCTGCAGTACAAAGTGAGATATAGTCTGTTTAAAACAAGTCCAGACATATAATTCTCTGCTGTTACACACTTGACTCTACACCACTGCATTACTGAAGGCAATAGGCATTATTCTTTGTCCGTTTAGTCAGTTTCTCCATTTACGGCCGATTGCATCTCATAATCCTTCTTATTTTTGCTCAGTAAATGCAGTATTTCCACATGAGAGTAAGGCTAAAGCCTGTATAATTATCTATGATGTTTATTTCAGCTCACACTGGTCTTTCCAAATATTAGATTGTACGGTAGACTAGTCTTCTCCATCTGCAGCACCAAAGGGCTCTGTGCTCCACTGCTTTAATTAGACTTTGTTTCTTCTGGAGAAGACTTTTCAGACTGCACCTCACCTCCAGCTAGCTTTGATATTCAAATTATTTGTGCAAACTCTGCATGTGGTTTGTAATATTTGGGAGAAGAGTATGAAAAGGGGAGTACAGGGACAGCAGGTGGGAACAGGTAGAGCAGATGACGGTGCAGTGGGATATATTTAGAGCCTTCTCTAAATGAAGTGGGTGTCCTGTGTGTGGAGTCTCCTGTACCTCCATGGTACTGCAGTCTCACCACATTCAGGCAGCTGCAGAGAGTAGTGTTACATGTCTGTGCTGCAGACCAGCATCAATTCATCAGGACTATTTATGTAGGAAAAAAAGACATTGTTTGTCAAAAGGTGTAAATACACCTGTAAATACAGTCTGGCAAAGTTTGTGCAGAGTATACAGTGCAGTGCTATCATATATTATATCTTCTAATTTATTTATATTTAAATTTATAAAAGGGTGAACCAGGCTGGGGAATCAGGTTGTGTTGTCAATAGCAGAAACAGAAACAGAAACATGAACAGTATATTACATACTAGTATAATATAATCATGTGTCCACTGTTTTAGGGTTCAGCCGATTCCTACACTAGTCGTCCCTCGGATTCAGACCTGTCCCTGGAGGAGGACAAGGAGGCGTCTCGGCGCGAAGCCGAGCGCCAGGCTCAGCTGCAGCTCGAGAGAGCCAAGGTGTGCCCATAGAGCATCTTTAGCTGGAAAAACCTGAACCATGTTTTATATATATATACATATATATATATATATATGTAGAGAGAGAGAGAGAGAGAGAGAGACTTTGAGCTTGACAAATATCACATTTTAAACATGTAATTTCTGTTTCCAGTACAAACCTGTAGCGTTTGCAGTAAAAACAAATGTGAGCTACTGTGGTGCCACTGATGAAGAGTGTCCGGTCCAAGGAGCCGCTGTGAACTTTGATGCCAAAGAATTTCTGCACATAAAAGAGGTGAAGGGCTTGTTTCATTTTGCAACTTTAAATCCATGAAATAAAATAAATACATTTGTTTTACCTGACCTGATTTGTTCTTTGGTCCTTTGATGTTTTAGAAGTACAACAATGACTGGTGGATTGGTCGACTGGTGAAAGAAGGAGCTGACATCACATTCATCCCCAGCCCGGTCAGACTAGAGGCCAGAAGGTGAAGCTCACTTGTGTTTTACACCCACTTCTATCAACCTACTGCATGCCCCTGTAATGTACTTATCTGTGCCATTATTTATAGACTGGATCTATAATCTTATCATATAATTATATATTTTTTATATATGTATGTTAATTATTATTATTTTAACTTCCAAACTGCAGATGATTTAAAACCCCAGCCTTCTGTGTTGTACTGTATATTTTCTCACTGATTATTGTGTGAAGATGTTTGCGCATAAAGGGTTTCTGTTTTTTCAGAAAAAACGCATCCACAGGCTGGAGGTCCACACCTCCCTCATCTGCAGGTGAGTGGGGCTCATGTCTCTCATTCTACTGCATGCTCATCATAAGTCTTAAAACTGTTGACACATTTGTGTTGTTGTCTAATGTCAATTTTTTTGTGTTAAAAGCTAAACAGAAGCAAAAACAGGTATGTATGTGTCAGCATCGTATGCATATCAATGTCTTCTATTTTTCAAAGTACTAACGCTGTGTGGTTTTAATTGGGATTTTTTAAAATAAATAAATTGTTCCAAAGTAACCAAGAGGTCTAACAAGGGCATGGGTAATTGTGAGAGCTTAAGTTAATTATTTTCAGCCACATGTCAATAAGTTCTTCTGTAATTCTTCTAAAATTGTATACTGCCAGACTGTACATATAAATAGACATAGCTAATGCCCTAGCTGCCACATTCCAAATAGGAAGTGAGCACGGGCTCTCCCAACTCCCTCTGACCCTGGCTCCCATTGACTTACACTGGAATATTGTGGCCCCTTTCTCTGTAACTGCTGCTGTGAGCCTTGTCATTTTGGTCTTAAAATGTTTGTATTAACCTGCTCTACATGATCCTGGCATTTTTCTGCTATTTTGTTTTGTATGTTCAAAAAATTCCTATTCATAATATAGAACCTGGCTCCAAATCTGCTCTGGAACTGTTAGCATTGTGAGCTTCATTTAAGTAGAGCCTAACGCAATGGGTGATGTTACGCTCTCTTAGTCCACTTCTTTACCCTCACGCTCTCCTTGGGGTCACATTGACCCGAAGACATTTTTTCTTCGGGTCAATGTGACCCCGAGGAGAGCATGAGGGATTTATAGAGTCTATGTGTCAGACGATTGAAATTTAAGGAGATTAAATATTTAAACTCTCATCAAATTTTGGCAAGACACCATGAATGTTGGTAAGGTTCTGATTGTTAGAGTCACACTTGCAATCAGCCCCAGGGCAGCGGTGGCAAAAGTAGTAGTTCCATTGCAGTGTGTGGGAAGCGAGTGAATAATGGATAGAACTGCTGCTCTGAATGTCCAGATGTCTTATGTGTGCATCTGTGTGTTGTATAGATTGAGCAGGTCCCTCCTTATGATGTGGTGCCATCCATGCGCCCGGTAGTGCTGGTGGGCCCTTCACTTAAAGGCTATGAGGTGAGTGGAATTACATACCAAACTCCAGTACATATATATATATATATATATATATATATATATATATATATATATATATATATATATATATATATATATATATATATATATATATATATATGTGTGTGTGTATGTATGTGTGTATTAAACATGGTGTATCTATGAAGCCCTAGCCCATACTCTCTACTGTGGTTTGCTCATTTTAGGCTTAGCTAAATCTGCTCCACATTTCTATTGGTATCAACTTGCTCCCTTCGATCTAAAGAGAATCTCTCTGGCCTCCATTATTCCATTAGCAGTGATACTAAACACCACAGCCACATCCTTATGAAATTATAGCACTCAAAACACTAATTATATCCCACCAATGTAAGGCCCTTGTATGGTCCTTCAGTAGACACTCTCAGTTATTCTACACATACAGTATATACGCAGAGCATGTATTTCATTGTGAATGTTCAAATTGAGCAGAGCTGAAGTATGCTAGCGGCACAGGTTTGAGGGTCTCTTGTGTGATTGTGAGGCCCGTGCGCCAAGCTGCTTGTTTTTGTCTGTCTCTAAAATATTTATGAACACTCTGGTGGTGTGCAGTGCTCTTCCTCTCTGTCCTTCCTCTCTGTTGTCTCTCTCATAACGTTTAATGTTGTTTGACATTGAGAACTGTATTGGATTTCATAAATACCCATAAATAAATATCCATAAATAAATATATTTTGAAAGCATACTATAGGCCTTGATATTTTTATGCACATCTGGTAGCTTTTTGTGTTAATTTTTTACATTGTGTATTTAGACAAGCTGACTTTTTACAAAATAGATTTCTTTTACTATCACTGCTTTTTCTTAAACTTTCTTACATTTTTGAAGTAAATGTATTCTTACTTGAGTGTATTTTTTGTTTACTCTCTACTCCACTATGTATGTTTGAATGTGTGTGTGTGTTATGTAAAAGTGTATTAGTATTATATTACAAGTAAAATTAAGTAAAAGTTGAGTTATTTATTTATACTTTTGGCACTACGACATGGATGTGAGACATTACACATAAAAAAAAAAGTGTTTATTTAGGCTACAATAATAATGTAACAGAGATGAACACTTATGGCAGCAGGAGAGCAGGGTGCCCGCGCGCAAGAGCGCGCATTGGCCTGGCTCATACCACATGGCTATGTAATAATACATGTGTATTATACTGAAAATGATTGATACTTTAAACATGTACTCTATCTCTTAGGTCACAGACATGATGCAGAAGGCCCTATTTGACTTCCTGAAGCACAGATTTGATGGCAGGTGGGTTGTGTTTGTGTTTTACCACTGGATGGGACTTTTGATCATGTATTTAGGTGTTAACATCTCCTTTTGAAATGCATATTGTGAAATTGCTCATGTAATAATGTTGGTCATGTGATTACTCTGGTCTTTGTACAGGGTCACGATTACACGGGTGACTGCTGATCTGTCACTGGCAAAACGCTCAGTGCTCAACAAGAAGGCTATAATGGAAAGATCCAACGCTCGCTCTACTATGGGTAAGGGACGTGAGGGACAGGATATGTTTGCTCTGTTCAGTGGCTAAATAAAGATGAACGCCTTCCAGGAATAGAAACTGTTTAATGTATTTGTCTTTCTGTGTTGTTGGCTCACAGCAGAGGTTCAAAGTGAAATTGAGAGGATTTTTGAGCTGGCCAAGTCATTGCAACTAGTCGTCCTGGATGCAGACACCATCAACCATCCTGCACAGCTCCTCAAGACCTCCCTGGCCCCGATCATTGTATATGTCAAAGTGTCCTCACCGAAGGTACTATGTGTATTATATTCAGTGATGTGAAGAATACTTTTAAATTGTATTTAATTATATTATACTGAATACTTGCACTAGAATATCTTTTGTAACGTATTCCAATAAATGGTCAGAGTACTGTATTCTGAATAAAACAAACATACAGGGTTGCATATAAATTATAGTGTAAACACGCAGCATAGGATTAAAAACAGTTTTATATTTGTTTTACTGTTTGTTGCATGCATGCATATATCGTGGATCAAAGAACTTCCACACTTGAAGCCTAAATTGAGTGATCAAGAATCACCATGTGTTCCTTTGATTTTAGAAAAGTAATTGTACTCTGAATACCACCAAATGAAACAGTGCCTGTACCGGAATACAGGTACTCGAAACATGTATTCAAAATATGTATTCTTGGTACGTGTACTCAGTTACTTCCCAACACTGATTATATTATGTTATTTGAAGTAAATGACCTTATTGTTTTCTCAATCCTTTTCAGTCATTGCGGGGTGTCAAGTGATTCTAACAAAGTGACAACCTCATTTGCACTTGACAAGCTGTCATTAGGCCTATGTTTATTTGGCCAATACACACCAAAGCCAGGAGGGAGCCATTTAAAGTGTGACTATATGTGGTTTTAGTAAGGATCAGTGTTATGCATGTTTGCTAAACAGAGTTCTGTTTTGGGTGCAATTCATTATAATTTCCACATCTATTTCTTTAAACATATTTACAAGAATATGTTTAGTCCATATGATTTACGATGGATGAAAAATATTTGTCCTAAGGCAGATTGCTCATGCACTAAAGGTTACTGCATAAAATAAACTCATAAGGTTACACATGAATATGCATATGACACACAAATAACAGTACATGTACCTACTACTCATTTGTTTAGCTATTTAAAGCTAAGGCATGCAAGCACATTTGTATTTGTGTGCATGTGCTAGAATTGTAGATGGATGGGAGGGGCCTGTATAAGTCTATGGAAGATTGACTGTTTTTGTAAGACATATTCATACTTATTACCCACAAGTATTGAACCTTGAACCTCATTATTTGTTAGGGTTTGGCTCCACACACTTGCCAGATTTAAATCCTTTCAGCTAACAATAATAACATCTTTGGGGTTGAATAATGGCACTACTCTGTGAAGTTTTCGTGAAAATAATTCCACCTTAGTTTATTTATGCTGACAGAGAAGAACTTGGTGCCAGTTTTTGTTTCATTGTGTAGACCCAGTAAATACAGAGATATTAACTGTGAACCAGGTAAACAAATTTGCAATCCCACATTTAAACAGCAAATTCCATCAGAATTCAGACCTTCCCCCAGCTGCATTTTAAACTATATAGGCATATGAATCACAACCTCTTAAGTGTGTAACAAGTAAAAATATCTTCCTCCATTTTTTGTGTACCAGGTTCTTCAGAGGTTGATCAAATCTCGTGGGAAGTCACAGAGCAAACACCTAAATGTCCAGATGATGGCTGGAGACAAACTAGCCCAGTGTCCACCTGTAAGTCCCTCTGCTTCTGACAATACAGTTTACACGTATTATCTACACAGACATTTGGGCAGTTACTGCATCTTTACCTTTACTTTTGCCAGGATATGTTTGATGTAATCCTGGATGAGAACCAGCTGGAGGATGCTTGTGAACACCTGGCAGAGTATCTAGATGCTTATTGGAGAGCCACACACCTCCCCTCTGCTGTCCCACCTGTGAATAATTCTTTGGGAGACCAAAGCGTCATCACCCCACCTTCTGCTAACTCCAGCCAACAGGTAAAACTAATATTAGAATATTTTGCATCATGGGAATTATGAATTTATTTTATTTGTTTATAGAATTAGTTAGTTGGCTATTTCATTTTTAAATACATGCAAATATATTAAAACATTTGTCCTGTAGATTCTTTGTCTAAAATTGTTTTATTACATGTCAGCTTCTCTCTGAGCAGTATTCTGAGACTCAAGAGTTGATAGAATGAGCCACAGTAAAGATCAAGGTAACATAAGATTAGATTATTTACTTCCTCTTTTGATAAATGCTTAGTTCCTCCTGTGACATTTGTATGCTGCCCATGCAGGAGAAGCTGGTGCTGTTGGCTGGAGTCAGACAGGAGGTCTACATGCACAGGGTCCAGGATGCCACTAGGGGGCAGCAGTACACCTCATGTCTCCGTTTGGAACACTCAGGAGAGAGAAAGGTGCTCTGTAGTGGCGGGATACAGCCAACAGGAGGTGCTGCCCGGCAAACCCCTCTCCCTGTTCCCACTAGACGACTCAGGGCCACTACCTACAGCTGCAGGGATCCAGGCAGAGCACCACACCTGCGATACAGGAAGTCCCACCCACCTGGTCATAATGCTGAGCCAGCCCATGTGTGTTTGGATACAAATTTAGACTGACATTAGCTATTTTCCCAGTAGCTCCAAATTTATTCAGTTCCCTATTCTGAAAATCTGTCACCAAAGAGTGCTGTAAGTCTTCCATCTCCACATTTAACCAAATGGTTCCTAAAGGCACAATTGTATCGAAATTTGTTGCTTTTCTGGGTGCACAAATTATGAGTTTATTAACTTGATTCATGTTTTTGTTTGTGTACTTATATATAACTATTATTTATACCTATGGTTCACACTATTACACACATATCTGCTGTAGTAATGCAAAGCCATGCATGATACACACAGACTGTACATCAGCCATTTACCCTATATGCATCTTGGTCACAACTGTGAATGTAGGAAACACTGGTACTTTTGCTTTGTACTTAAGTCATGCAAGCATATATCATAATATGCACTGTTACAAAGGACAGGCCAAAAACATCTTTCCTATAGTCATTATAGAGATGAAAGAGATGTCTACTGACCTCTATCACCACAACTGATAAATAATAGTTGTGGATGTCTACTGCTTATTAGAGCACATCCACAAATGTGTTATGCAGTTGAAAATGCATGTAGTGTAGTGTAATAATGTATGTATCATTATCACACACACTTATGCAGTAACATACACACAAACATCTCATCTGTGTAAATAACCTGTGCACGACACATTATACCCACACTTCATCAGAAGAACCTCAGGAGCTTCATGAGCCGGACACTCTGCAGACTCACAGTGTGACCTACATACATTTATATATGCATATACCCAACCTGTACATACTGTATATTCAGTGAGCTGATATATTTACTGTTCATTTGGCCAGAGTGAATATTTATTTATATATGTTATTTATGAGCACAATGCAGTATATTTTTTTTTCCACAATGTTATAGATCCTCTGCTAATTTTTTAACTATCAAAAAACATTTATTTCTGAAGACCAGGCTGGAAAAATAAGTACACAGAAAGCACAGTATGTTCCAGGGAATATTAAACTCACTTAGCAAAACTGAAATGCAGGAATTTGTACTAAAAATCAACTATCCTCTTGATATTGGAAGCACAATTTTGTATAACTGTATTATATTTATTATTATTATTTAATATTTACAATACCTATTTCACTCGCCTGAATCCTGTATGCAATACAAAGTTTAGCATTACCATACACTAGCCAAGACTATCAGTGAAGCTCCTCACTTATGATGGGCTGTGAATGATTGCACTAATATCATTTCTGCTTTATGATGCAATAATGCACAGTGTTATGCTATTGCTTTAGCCACTTCCAATACTGAACAACTATCTGGTCCAATGAAAATCAGTCAAAATCAGTCATTTTCGCAGTCTTATACTGGGTGCATCTGTTGTCAATGCCACACTGGACTAAAGGGGGTGAATAAAGAAAATGTTTAAGTAATGTCTTTGTATGAGGTCTTCATTGTGATGGTACCCTCACCAGCAGAGGGCAGCGGTGACAATAACATCCCAAAAAGTGGGGGCTTGATTATGGGTGTACAAAGGCAACGTGACAGAACGATCTGCCTTCTTATGGATATGCCAGTAAATGTTAGATTGTTAGTTTGGTATGAGGGACTGCACAAGCAATGACAAACCTGGACGTTGACTTTTTCTCTACTCACTCCAGACCCTCCACAAACGCACGTGTCCTCCTTGGTGTTATCTTGGGTGTGGATTGGGACCTCAGCGGTGTGGCCTGACACAGCAGGTGCAACGGGTTGAGGTGTCACTATGGTCTTACACACCTCAAACGGAGAGGTGTCACTCTGTTTACTCACAGCCACCTGTTTGTCTGTCCCACCAGCTCCCTCAGCCACATACCCTCTAGTTATGAGCATCTTTTTATTTATTGAATATGGTCATTGTTATTGGTTGAATGTAACGAAGTAAAAGTAGTAAAATACTGTACTTAAGTATATATTTTAGATAGCCTATGGATAATTTTTTTAATCCACTTTACTGCATTTGAGTGAAGGTATCTGTACTTTCTACTTTTTTAACTGGACTGAAAAGTAGAAGTACTTTTTTATTATTGAATGAGACCTGCTGAAAAGGCTGAGGGGTTTATTTTTAACAGGACTTGCTTTAATACTTTTACTTAAGTAGATTTTCTCACGTGATACTCTTACTTGAGTAAAAGTACAGATGCTTCGGCATCTGTTCTTTAAGTAGCAAAATAGATTACTTCTTCCACCACTGGTCATTGTCTTTTGTTATGTAGGAAAATCTGGGACCATATGATAATCTGTAATGCAGTAGTTTAAACAGAAAGTTATATGACAGACAGTTAAATTATTAATTTTACTTTAAACTGATTCTACAACAATACACTCCTCCAGGACTGTGAAAATGATGCAACATGAAACGTGAAAGGATGCTGTGGAGGGCCCATGGTCAGAAGGAAATTGTGACAATGGGGTTATGCTTATATATTATGTCCACAACTATTTAAGTTTTTGGTACTCCATTTTTATTTTTATTTTTTTGCTTTTTAATCATCAATGTTTTAGTTTTGTTGTTATTTTTCATTACTCTTTTTTGTTAAAACATAATTCATATTTAAATTAATCCCACAGTATGATCTAACACTTTCGGGGTCCAGTACTGGAAGCTTTTTAGGCATTCCAAGAAAATGACATTTGAGGTTGTACACTGCATGAGTTGACAACCCTAGATTCTAATCTTCATACAATTTAGGGACTTGAGACTTACTGTAGGGGAAATGTATTACCAAAATTCATGACGCAGCTTCTTAAATCCATCTTACTGACAAAGCACATCCATTCGTCCAACACAATCTTATTTTAACACCAATTTATACTGGTGATTCAGGCTGTAATTTCCTCCAGACACTTAAACCATCTGATTAAAATGACAAAGCCATTTCATTACAGAGAGCAGAAATGTAGAAAATGCAGTCTATCAGTTTTACAGCAGTGCTCATAAACAAACGCAGAGACGCAGGGGCACTAGTGTGTGGCTTATCCCAATGAGTTACAGTACAAGGCTGTAAAAGTCAGACTGGCCCTGAGTGTGTGTGTGTGTGCGTGTGTGTGTGTCTGTCTGTGTGAGGGGGGGCATGAGATATGTCCCGTTTGATGACACTGGCCAAATTGCTTTGACCCACTGGGCTAGAGGATGCTGGATGCTGCTGCTGGGATACTAATTGGCAAGAGTAAGTAAATTAGATAGCGGGTTGCCAGGTACAGAGGAGCAAGGCTAATAGACTTTTATCTCTTAATACTGGCTCCTTTGACTAGCAGTGAGATGTCATTTCCCCACTGTAACAGCCTGCAGGGCGTGAAGAGGTTTGTCCACAGCAGGTCTGACCAACAGACCCCAAAACAGAAGATAGTCACAGCATGTTTTCAAAGGTCAACATGAGAAACTTAAACTACTCAGGCCTTTGATCACAGAGCATTCAAATTGTCGGGCTCATGTCTTATCTGACACTTTGAGCAGGGGCACGGGAGAGAGTGATGAAGGCTTTTGTGCTGGTTTTACACGAAAGACTATGCTCAAGATGTGGAAATCAATCATCAGTAGTCATTGATGGTCAAGTATTTTCTAATGGCTCACAAATAAAAGTATGACTGCCAAATAGTGCAAAGATACTCTGAAAATGTAAAATGATTTGTCTTATAGTCTACTTATCATAATATGAATTGTAGCACAAACAGATGTATCTCTGCAAGAATAATTAAAAAGCAGTTGTGGTGGTAACTTTATAACCACCTCAGTGTCCAGGCAGGGAGTTTTGCCCATTTAAATAATTCAGAGGAAAGCCAGTCCTTCTTGATCTACTGGATTGATTGTGTGTCGGGAGATTAGAGTAAACTAATTAGCCCACAGTGGAGAGGTCTATCAGGCCCATTGTTCTGAGGACTTGAGGTATGTCATTGATCCAGAGCCCAGTCAATCTAATCAAATAATCTGAAAACCACTAATGACAGCACAACACATGTACCACGACTCACATCTCTCAGAATACAAATGATAAAAAAGGTCACAAGGACACAAGACATTTTACTATGTCATCTACAAATGCTATTTTATCTGCGTTTTAAAGTTCGTATATTTTTAAAATTTGGTATCAAAACATTCCTGTACCAGTTGACTGTGTCAAACTGATTTGACTGATTATGTTACAATATCATGTCAACCATACAGTTTTATCATCTCAGGAATATGGTACAGTAGTGGTAACTTCTGTAGATTACTTGAATAAAATAATAAAAATCCTTTTACCAGTTAATTTCTGCCAGAAACAAACAATGAGTATTATTTAGAACGCTGCTACAAATATGGGGAGCAGAGGTTATCATTTATCTTACAAAACCAACATTGTGGGAGATTTTGGGGATGGACCTATTCAGTTATCATGGAAAGTCTTTTCGGTTTAATCTTTTCGTCAACATGAGTCATCGTATTTCCAAACTCCAGTTTTATATTTCAGTGCAGATTTGTGCCGCTGTCTGTCGCTTCTCCTTGTGCAGAGTGGTGTTTTGGCTCTGTGGGGACAGAGCACGGTGCAGTAATGTGATGTTATAAAGCCTGCGGAATGGCGTGCTCCTATTGGCTGCCGGCCCTCCGTATAAAGAGCCGCAGTGGCAAATTAAATCAGATCAACTGCGGCTTCAGCGTGGGCAAGCACACACTGGGACGCGCGCTCTGCACGGGGAACATTGACGGATCTCTTTACGTTTTCCTCTTCACATTTTATAGCACCTTTTGGACTATATTTTTACCAAAATGAAGGAAAGGAGGAGTACGCAGCCGCTTGTTGTGAGGTGTAAACTGGTGCTGGTTGGAGACGTCCAATGCGGAAAAACGGCGATGTTGCAAGTCCTCGCCAAAGACTGTTATCCAGAGGTATGTGGCACTTTAGTTGATGAAACAGAAGATGCAACTTATGCACGTGAATTGGCGACTACAGGATTTTTTTTTTTCATTAGAAAACGGTAAAATGGGCTGCAGTTGTGTGTTGCGTTTGTTGCAGATGATACATTTCATGCGCAATTCCTCTATCAAGTCATCTCCCCCAATGCCATGATAAAACACTCTTTAGAGAGATAATTGTTGGATTTATAGATGTATTTTCCTTTATGTGCTTTAGTGTATATATCTCTTGAACTGATTGATTACCCCCAAGCCCTTGTATACCAGTACACGCTGTTCTTGGGATGAGTTGGCTTATCAGTGCATGTTTTAATAACGCGCTTATTAGCCGGACAAATGTGATTATGTGACCGCCTGGCTGACACGGTCCCACTAACGACAGCGTCTTGTTAATTGCCTCACCAGACGTACGTGCCCACGGTGTTTGAGAACTACACGGCCTGTCTGGAGCTAGAGGAGCAGCGCGTGGAGCTCAGCCTCTGGGACACCTCAGGTAAATGACTACAGGCTACACGCATCCTTTATGTCTCTATGGGCCCCTCTCAGACTCCTATTGTCTCTGTGCCACTAGTGAGATGGCTGTTGAGTGTATGTTTAACATTGTGTCATTCGGCTCATTTCGTTTTTCTGTGCATAATTTATTTTTATATTTATTTTATCTCTTTTCCTCCTGTGGGTCTTCTGGATAAAATTTGATTTACTTCTTAATTACATGGTTTAAAATAGTTGCTGTAGTGTGTTCCTTGTCTGTTTTAGTTGTAGTTAAGGTCACAATATGAAAAATTGTCTGAGCTTTTATCTTAGTTTCAGCTCAGAAGTCATTGCTTCATTTGGCTTATCAGATGATTGGGTGTACATTTTTGAAGCACTCAGTCGAGCCTAAGTAAGTGATCTAGTTGCCCAGCTTGATCACTTCCTTCTTTCCATGGATTATCAATTATTATCAATGATGCATAGCTTGATTCATCTAAAGACTTATTTGTTTATACTGAGAGAAACAAATGTGAACCCTCTACTTATTTTACAGTTATCGATAATCTATTTTATTGGCAAATTCTGTTGTAGTCCTCACTATACACATGTGAACAATGACTTTAGATTTGAATCACACTTGTTGATCTACAATCATCCATGGTTCAAATAACTAAATTTCTTTTGTTACTGGATGTGTTTCCCCTGCCTCCTCTGCACATCCATGTTATTACTACATAGTGAAATTAGGCTCTGAGACTGTGATTCCTTCTGCCTGGTTTGTCCTTCTCATGCATCATATGTTCATTTACACTCTAAGCTTTAAAAACAGGGTCAATGTGTCAGTGTGGGTCTCCCTTGGGCTGTTGTGTGTTGACCTGAATATTACAAACACTGCTTTTTGCATCACCTGTTTGATTCTGCCTCTCCCTCTCTCGTCTCTCTCATCTCTCTCCGTCTCTCCTCTCTCTCCTGTCTGCTTTCTCTGGGTCACAGTTTCGCTCACACGTTTTGCGCATAAAATCCTTTACATAACAGCTCCAATTGTGTCAGACGACTCTGCATGTGTTTACTTACTCCTCGTATATTCACGCCCCCTCATTATCAGACAGGCAGGAAGGAGAGTGTAATTCCCCTGTCAGACCAAATCCTGTGCTTTTTAATCCTACGCTTTGGACCTCATGCCGGAGCAGGTCCTGGCAGGACCACTGGGCCGGGTTCCCGAGGTTTTCTGGAGCAGACGGACACAGAGGTCTGGTCTCTAAAGTTTGCTGACCTGCATTCTCCCCCATATGCTCACTCCAGGACGGCATGATGCAGAGGATTAAGACCCGCCTGTGCGCCCCACTGACCCAACAAGTCTGAGATGCCACATTTCACTTTCAGTCTTTAAACTCTTTGGCTCCTGTCATTTGGCATATTAAGCCCCCCTTTGTTTTCTTTGGCGAGCATAATAGCAACAGAGAGCGTCAGTGTAATTTGCATATGTTGCCCCTCAATACATGGAACAATGAACACAGCGGAAAAGACACAAATACTTCCGTTTACGGTCAACAAAACAACAAACAGCTGACATGAATGAAGACAATATCTGTTCACCTTAAGAAATACACTGTATACACTATAACTCCAGAAATATTTTCCATGACTCCACTAACTAGGGGTCCAAAGCAAAACATCTCTATATTTTTTTCATTCCTCACAAATTATTTGATATGATTAGTTTTTTTAAAAGAATACAAAATTTTGTTGAATTCAAAATTACCCCAATTCTTTCTTACAAAGTCTGAACTCTAATGGATCTTGATTATATTAAAATTGCATTAATTGTAGAGCCCTATCAGTAACTGACTATCATCCAAACTTGTGCAGTTTTGGGAAATCCTCAGTGATGATCAGACTCTGGCTTATTCAGGTTATTGGTAATATGGTAGCCTACAGTCTGCTCATTGTAATTCTGTCTAATTGCGTGGAGTGACACTACTGGTGGTGTGTCCCAGGATCTGAGTGTGGCTCCTCATTATCCCGACTCCCCTGCATTGATTCTCTGACCTCATCACCGGACGGGCGGTCCTTCCTCCCCCGGCCCACCTCGGATTTATACAAACTCAAATCGATGGGCCCGTTTTAATCAGCCTGTGCGCGTCACATACAGAGGAGGGCGGCTGGGGAAGCCCTGAAAGCAGCTCATAAATACTGAATAATGGATGTTTCTATAGTGTTAGTGGGTGATTTATAAGGGCTTAAATGGTCTCGCTGACAAGTCTTTGAGTTTGATGTATATTTAGTTTTCTCTCTGATACAAAGAAGATTGGTCCAGATTGACACTGCTTCCAGTTTAGGTAGATCAATGAAAGAACTAGTAACTGAGTATGACTACTCAAAGACTGCTGTCCTAAACCTGGATAAATTGTTTTATAGAACCCTACATACTAACTCCGGACTGGAAAATCCAAAATCGCATAATTCCAGAGTCATCAAATAAAGCAGATTGTAGCATTAGCAGATTAACTTAATTGAGTAGGATGAATGATCAGGGTTACATGGTCTTATTTTAGTCCTGAAATACTGTAGATCTAGACCATTCAGGAAAAGTCCAACTTTGAAATTTTTCCAGTATTGCCATTTGTTCAAATGAGTATCTACTTTTGATATTAGTTTATATTAATTAATTAATTAATTAATTATTTTTTTTTTTACCGTTTATTGTTTTTAAGTAAAAAAAAAAAAGCTCAGGCTGATATAAAACATACTGCCCAAACTGATCTAAATTACTGTAAGTTATTTATATATTGCTAATATCATTTATACTGGTCCCTCATCCCCTTTGACCCATGTTCCATCATCTGCCCCTTCTTACCATTTACTTCTCCTTTGGTCCAGTTTCATTTTGCCCTGGGCTCTGGTTCATTCTTACTCTAGACTCCTCCTCTCCTTTTGGACTTGGGTAATGCTTTGTACTTTTCCTCTGTTCATCTGCCTCTCATTGCTACTTCAGTGTCTCAGAAACTCCCCATCTGCTGTGGAGGCCTACTGTCAAGAAAGAAGCAGAAAAGCCCATATTTCGGCCATATTTGCTGCATGTGCATTGATCTTTGCGGAGGGAGGGGTCGGGGGATCTTGTGTGATAGCAGACTGCAGGAGGTGAAGGATTAATGGCACAGGAGGATCTTTTGGTCCCCTTAGAGGGCTAACTCTGCTCCACCGCCTCTTTGCTATTGGCGTTTCCCTGCTGTTTCATCCACTTAATAACTTGGTGAGGTGTCAGGAGAGCGCCACTAAACCTATTATTACACACTGGTGGTATGATCTACAGCAGCCATGTCAAAGCCAAGACTCAGAGCATGTTAACTCTGGTCACTGATAGTATGGGCTTTTAGACTTGGTTTTCAGTAGATGGTGTATATGGAAATAATAAATATGACATTAATGTTTATGGTGAAGAAGTATGAGGAGTGACTGAATATTTCTAGCATATAGACAAATCTGTTATTCTTTAACTTTGGGATAATAAGCATCCAATTAAACAAAGCATGTATTTATTAGCTGATTGATTCTGGCTGTAGATTAATTTAGATCTTGTCCATGTGTGTATAATTGTTATCAAATCCTTAAATAAAGTGTGATGTAAGACAACATACGATATACTGTATAAATAAATTCAGAGAGCAGGAAAGGAAAGAAAATTAATAATAGCAGAAAGACTTGTTCCAGTCCCTTGCGAGATTTCCCAGCTTTTTTACACAATAGTATTCTAACCACTAGTTCAGTTGCTTGCATGATGCTGGTTTCAGATTGTATCAGTGACTACAAGTTTACCCTGCTTTTATTTATTCTGATCAAATCAAAGCCATTACTCACTTACAGTCTAATTACAACATTGTTTGCTCTCATTAAGATTCCCATTCACCAGCACTGCTCTGTGAAATCGAGGCCGTCACATTGTAACATGTGTCAGTGTTTCTGCTATAACTATGCGAGCTCTGCTAATGAATCACTCTGCCTGAAGGTCAAAGCCATTTCTCTTTAGCCTTGACAAGACTTAAAAACACCTCGGACGTGTCTTTGCTCCCTGTTTTCTTCCCGGCAGGATAACTCGTCTGTCAGCTTTAATTGCACTGTCTCGTGGACAGTGCACAGTGCTCCTATTGATCGCTGCATTTAGATCAGTGGTGGTTTAATGCGCCCTCACACCCAGGGCAGAGTGTGATAACCCCACAAGATGGGGGAGATTTAGGACTTCACTTTGCCCAGACACAACATGCCACAACAGAAAACAGCATTGTTTCTGTTTGAATGGAGGCTGATGGCCTCACTCTAAACTTTTGTTTGTGGCTCAAGGTGTAACTGTTGATAACAGACAAGTGGTTCTTTGCATTGAGGGAGTTAACGACTGGTCTGTTTACAAAGCTTTTTGAATTGTTTTAGGGTGAACCTTTAAACTAATTTACAAATAAGGCTGCTCCCATGCTGCATTTTTGCTTTTCTAGGTTAAATAATTTATCATTTGCATTTGAACGCTGGACCAACAGGAGCAGTGCAGTACCTACAAATCTTATGCTAGGCTTGGTCACACCTGCCTTAGCTGGAGGATTTTTACCTGTAATATCACTAATGATTCACAGACATGCAGTAATACAGACCCAAATGACTGTACAATAGGCTACTATAAAATTGAAATGAAATTTTGGATAGCTGTAGTGAAATTAAAAAGAAAAGACAATTTGTAGCTGAATTTGATACAGAAATACTCATAGCCACACATGATCACCTTGACTAGTATATACAGCAATGTCAAGAATAATTTCAATAAATATATGCAACGTATTTTATAACATCTATAAAGTTTGTCTTCTGAGCCACATCCTTGCCCCATTGTTTGCTATTGCTGTTGTGTTTGTTTGTTGAAAAAAAAATCTGCTGGAATTTGAGAGCAGCTTGTCATTATTCTGCTCACAGTGCCCGGCAGCTGGCAAAATTCGGTTTTATCCTTTGATAATGTGGAAAAGCATTAAGTATTCATGAAAGTGATCTATATGCACAGAGCCAAGTTGCAGGCTACTGTTTAATTTGCCCTTCCCTGTTTCCTGATACATTGTTGTTTCTCTGCTGTAAATCAATTAACTTAGCGTTGTGCAATAGCTAATTAGTCACTGCTTTTGCTATCAGTTACTATAAAAGGAATCACATTTGGGATTCACAAACAAGCTAATCCCATTGAGCTGTGTGTTCTGTAGCAGGAGATAGCAGGATGTTGCATACCGCTGGCTAAACCCAAACTTTAAATCTTGTTATAAGTGAGCTTTTTGTTTGTGAGGGTGCTTATCTGGGTATAGACCTGAGGGATGTCCCCAGCACTGTGTGGGTGGGTGGGCATGTGGCGGGTGTGAACTGATTGATAGGCAGTTAAGTCTTTATAGAGCCAGCGGTGGGTGGAATGCATGATGTCGTAGTCAGTGGATTCCAAGGCTGTTGCTGTGGTAACAGAGAGTGGAGGTATGGCGTGCCTCTGGATTTTTTCTTTTTAGGAGAGGGGGGATGGCATGCTCACTTGGAATACTACTTGATTTTGTATGACCCCCACCCTTTACTAACAATAGTAAAGGTTTTTTTGTTTTTGTTTTGTTTTTTTGCCTTTTTATTAAAAACAACAAAATTACCTTTTAAGAATAAATTTTCTTGTTTGGAGCATCATTATTATAGTTACAGTTTTATATTCTGCATCTTTCAGTGTTTAGAAAAGTGCTACATAAATCAAATTTATTGTTAATTATTATTTTATTATAGTTTTCCAGATAGAGCTGTGCAATTAAATACAATTTTAACAAAGATAGTATTTCTTTCTGTTTTTATACAATACACAATAGAATACAGAATAGTATACAGTAATAGAATAGTTTTCTCTTAGCAGTAAATATTTCAGTCAAAACCATGCTGACAATACTGTTCTAGGGCAAACAATATTTCCCAAGATCAATAGGGATTTAAGCGTTCGATATTCATCTTCCCTTTAGCCTATCAGACGAGCCGACAAAAGAGCAGTTCCAGGGACAGGAAAGTGGATCTCAGCGGGAAAAATCCGATCTGATGTTTCCTAATTCTGCTGCTGGATTCATTGTGCATGGTCTTTTTATGGTTTACAATGACCCTTAAGACCCATAGTTACTGGGTTCAGTGAATGTTATGATTAAGAAGATGAATGTTTGCTCTCATTATTTACTTTTGTAGTTTGTTAAGATTTTAAGTAATTTAAGTATTAAAGTAGAATTTAGTAATTATTAAGTAATTTATTAAGATCTGACACATTGTTAATCATGACTTGTTTTGTTTTGCAGGTTCGCCATACTATGACAATGTGAGGCCCCTCTGCTATAGCGATTCAGATGCAGTTCTGCTGTGTTTTGACATCAGTCGCCCTGACACTGTGGATGGCAGCCTCAAAAAGGTAACCAGTCTCACTAAAACAAAACAGATATCCTCAAATGATCTCTTTTACTCATTACTGAACAAGCAATAGCGATCACTGATCGCCTCTGTACCAACATGTATTGACTCTTTATGTTTTGTTCTTTGCAGTGGAAGAACGAGATCCTTGACTTCTGCCCCAGCACACGGATCCTTCTGATTGGCTGTAAGACTGACCTGCGCACAGACGTCTGCACCCTGATGGAGCTGTCCAATCAGAAACAGACCCCTCTCACCTACGAGCAGGTTAGGAGAAACTAAATACAGTTGTTGTAAATTCTTCTTGCTTACTAAAAGTTAAATTCTTCATAATTGTAAAAAAAAAAAAAAAAAGGGGGGGGGGAAATTCAACATGTTTTCAACATGGATTCAATATGGATTTTATAGTATGTTATGGGTCCCAAGTTTGACTAACCAAATACATTTTAGAGTAGATTCTTCTCAGTGACTTAATCAAACAGTGAATAACCTGAAATGCGTAAATTATATCTGTTGACATAAAGCATATACATTCATTCTGCTCTCCTCTCTTATCCTAGGGCGCTGCTATGGCCAAGCAGCTGGGTGCCGAGGCCTATCTAGAGTGCTCCGCCTTCACCTCAGAGAAGAGCATCCATAGTGTGTTCCGCACAGCAGCTTTGGCCTGCATCAACAAACTCCAGGCAGTCCCAAAGCCCAGCCCTACGCGCCGCCTATCCAAAAGACTGCTGCACCTCCCTAGCAAGTCAGACCTTCTCTCCTCCACCTTCAAAAAGGAGAAGGCTAAGAGCTGCTCTGTCATGTGAGTGGACGCCATCTTGGGCTTCCAAAAGGTCTCTCCGAGCCCCTGCCTCTTTTGGTCTTGGGGAAGGGGGGGTGGGCACGATTTATCAGGACGTCCTGCTGAATCCTTCCCCTAACCCCCCCATGAAACCTAAACACCACATCAGAACAGGTGGACACTGCACTGTCCACTTGCTCCTGAACATTGTAATGCACATCTGTCATTTATCAACCTCGACCTGCTTTTTGAAGAAACTGTTGTATTCAAGGTTCGGACATTGAGCTGCCATTTTTCACATGCAACAGAAAGATACTACAATGTTCACATTACATGTTGAGTTTGTCCAAAATTGGAAATGTGCAACGTGTGACCATAATATTGATGGGGAAAAAACTCTAATAATTCAATGTATAACTAAAGCTAAATCTAGCATGAACCAATCAGGAGCAAGTACTGTCCTGGACATCTCTTCTAGCAAGGCAGTATTACGTAGCAGGACAAATAAAGGGGCACAGAAGTTAGACAGTCGGTGGTCAAAAGAATAGAGAGATGGGTTATTAAGAGAAGTTGCTCTTGTATAGATGAAGCCTGGTGGTGACGCTGTGGTCAGTTCTGGTCGTATTAAGGTGGAAGAATCAGAGCTGACCAAATCAAAAGGGAAGTTTGCTTGGGCTTCCTGTATCGCTGTGGCTTGAAACTACTTGATGAAGGTGAAAATTTATGAGGCGTACAAGTTTCAATGCCTTGATGTGGCTTGAAGTAGTCACTGTGTGCAAAATGCTTGGATCTGACTGCTAATGCAAATCTTTGTTGGTTAGAATATCATTTGGATTTGTAGCATTGTTTGAGCTGTTCTTTAACAGTATGCAGTTTTGAAAAATGCCTTTCATATCATAATCCCACAATCTTTGGACTTCTATGTGCCTGTGACTTCTCTCATTTGTAAAATATACTCCAATGTAGCACTCCCGATGACTTCCAAGACCTCCGTGTTGTTTCTAATCCAATAAGCAGCACTTACTGTAGGACATACTGTATATGGAGCAAACAGGGGTCTGGTCCGTGCTTAAATCCTTAGTTTTATGGTTGTGCTGACCATAAAACAGTGTTGATTTAAGTGCATGTTATACAAGGGCGACCCGTGGCAATAAAACACAGCTTTGTGATTACTGTTATCTGCTACAATGCTCCATGGACCATCTTTGCTGTACAAAAAGGCTGTTGATATGACTATGATATCTACTAAATATTAACATGAGATTGCGATGGACAAAACCCTGTAGATGCTGTTATTGCACGGAGTAGATGCAGTTTTCAATTTTGCATTGGGAATCTACATATTTCAAATTTGAACCATTGTGAAAGGGCTTAGAAAATGAGAAATATTGGGGGTTTGTAGTTCAAATCAAATGCACAGGCTGGCCCTGTCCAAAGAGCGATATTATTTTCCATAAGGATTTTTTTCTGTTATGTTTGTTAATAGCATGTTGTCTTCATGTTGTTTATGAGTAAGTGTCTATGAAGCAGTGGGCAGCCCTTGTCACAGCCGTGAAATGGTGATTTGCACAAAACCTTTAGTTCACGGTCACACCAAAATTCTGCAGCATCGCCTAGCAACGATTGAGTGCAGGAAGCAGCGAGGACCAAGACAGAGACAGGGCTGGATCAGTGGCACATCCCCAAATCCAGACAGCAGCAGCTTCTACCAAACTGCCTAACATCAAAATCAAAGACTGCACAAAATGAAGGTGCAGCACTAGACACATTTGGGTATTAATCACAAGGCTCTGGACTCAGTCAAAATTAATGTTATAACTAAACTAAAATATGTTGAAGTTGAAACCCATTGTAAATTGAAAGAAACATCAATTATCTGCTCAAGTGTAACACCTTTTAATCAATTAAGTGGAGCATCTTATCAAAGCTATGAACTGTATCTAATTACTTTGCTGAGACTGTGATGGCAGAGATCCCAGTCAGAATCATATCATGCAGTTCTGGTTTTCTGTGGCTGTTCTGGTGTGGACAGAACAGTCTGTGTGTGCAGAGGAGGCTCATAGACCTGTACTCAACCTTCGTGTTGTGGTCAGTGTTTGGTACACTGGTGCAGTCCAACTCCTAAAGCATGTCCTATTGAAGTTGTATGATTGTACATATCTTCTGTCTCCTGTTTTATAACCACTGAAAGGCACTCCTGAGATGTCAGAGGAGCCATTGTTGTAAATGTGAATATTTATTTAGTTGCTCTTTTTGTTGTCATGTACATTCATTTGAAATCTATTTTGTAAATTGAGCCTTTTTTGTTTTGACTATTTTTTGCTGTGTTAATAAAGCTTGCCTTGTTCGGCATACAAAGTTGCTTTTCATAAAATCAATCATAAATTTAATTATTAAAACAAGAAATAAGTGGTATATTTAAACAATAAATAGTTTAAGTGATAACAGGATCTATGCACTGTTGCATCATGAACATGGTAACTATATGCTGTGCTAAAGGTGATGTATGTGGATAAAGAAACTTTACTTTAATCTAAAAATCTGAAATCATAAATGTAGCTTATTCACAAAGGATATAATTATAGTAGATGTTAAACATGTTTTTTGTTAAATGTTCCCTGTACATGAGTATTATCCCTGCTCATTTATGCAGAAAAGCATATGCAGTCATGTATCTCGTCACTCATTTCCATATGAAGTGTGTCCCTTATCTCTTCCACTCCACTGGTACTAATAATTCCTTGAACAGGCCCGGTGTCGCTGAGTGCATGCGGAGCAACTCTCATTAGGGACAGAACAAATTTGAATCGTGATGGATCGGGGATTACTGTCATTTCGTATCTCTTCTTCAACGCTGAGCAGAGATGAGAGCATCTGATGAGGAGGGCGCCTGGATAATCTCCTGAACCACAGAGACCAAAGGGTGTCACGTGTAATTAAGACATACTTAACAGCGGCACGATCTGGAAACGCAGGGTTCAACTAAAGGGGAGCAAGTTCCCCAATTGAGAAGAGTGGTAAAACAAATCAACTTTCAGAGTACACAGAATGAATTTCACCGATAATTTGACTATTTTTAGGAAGGTCCTCTGTTCAGTTCTCTGACAGGCCTGTGTAGACTAAGCAAGTTGTTCCAGAGTCTGGGTAGTTTATGGGTGCTACTGTTTCACTGATCAAACTTAAACATGCAGGTTATCTCCCAGCAGGACAGGTATAGTTCAGACTCAAACTTTAGTTAAAGACCCCTATGTGCTGCACTGTGGTCGCCCACTCTGTAAAGATACCCCAGCAGTGGAATGAAAGGATTGGTTAAATACCAGGTTACATACATGAAAACAAAAGCTTTAGCATTGCTACAGGATTAGTACCATTGGTTAACTTCATACTGATTGCAAACTGAAGTAATAGAATTGGTTGTAGGTTGACCACCTGTCCCTCTTTGGTTGTCCTGTACAGCTACACACACAGCGCGTTTGATATGATGTGACCTATATTGTGTTTAAATGGGTTAAACTTTGAAAACCATGGCATTTTATAGCAGTCTATATCCGACTATTTGAGTTGGTCATTATAAAGGGTTGAGGCATAAATAAATAAGATTTGTGTTTTTTGTCTCATTTCAAAATGTAGCAGCAGCTGTTAAATTTTGCCCTGTTGACAGTTTCCTCAGTTTCCTCACAGTTTCAGTGACACTTCTGAAGATGTAACGATGCTCAGTGTGCAAACAGAGCCCATCTGGAGCCACATGTGCACAGGTGTGTGGTACTGGCCCAGTGCCCAGGAGACAGAGTACAGACATCAGATGCTCCTCAGCTCTATGCCCAGTGCGGCTCACATGACAGGACCAGGGGAATACTTTGGATGTGAGCAATTGTTAGATCTTCTATGCTTTGACAAAATAAATGTTTGGTCTGGACCGATCACTTTTTCTAAGTTTATGATAACTACCACTGTATTTAACAATTATAGACATTTGAATGGACAACCAAAGTAATTGATTAATTCAAATTCAAAATCAGTGGTTTTCAGATAGTCCCAGATTGGACAGTGCTGTTGAATGCATTGTATTCTCACAGGAAACAAGTACATTCTCAAATGTTGATCTATCTAGAACCTAGAACATGCTGTACTGTCCAAAAATATGCTTTATAACAATATTCACTTTAGCTGCCCCTCATCTATATGAAGTGTAATTCGCCCCTTGAAAGTTGAGATGTTATCTGACCTGAATGACCATGAACCAGACAGCTCTACAATCCACATGAAAAGATTTCCTGGTGCCCTCTAAAACTGAAGCGAGTGGTTGGTGGGGGCAGACCTGGGGCAGTAGGTGACTTTCACTCAGCTAGATGCACCCTTGGGTGTCAGGACACCTGCTAGTCCTGTGCTAGTCCCATAAAATGAGGCCAACATCTGGAATGGCTGCATGGCCTGATTCTGCTGCTGAGGCAAAGGTTCACATTGCAGGTCCAGGAGGTTGTCAGGGCGACCTCAATATTTTGTTGGGGCTTTAACACAAACTGCTCTTTGTCTCCTACGCAAACAGTGGACCACTCTGACCTAGGATTATGGTGTTACCATGGACAAAAGCCCAACAGGAAGGCTATTAGAGCGATACAAAGCTAGTTTCTTTCACATGTAGCAGATTAATGCAATTCAAATGCAGTATGACTAATTACTATGTGCTTAGAGAAACATTTAGATAATGATACAACAGTAGATTGATGAGAATGACTCAAATGAGACCAATTGAAGATAATAATACTACATTTTGAAATGTTTATTGTCATATTTATGCAATGCTTTATCTCCATTGGGTACTTCAGCTCCTTATCGTGAACGTGCATTCATAGTGCACATGTGCCTAAGCGTTAAGTGGGTGCTGTTGTATAACATACCATAATTTTCTCTCCTCAGAATCTCCCTGTCACCACAACAATGCTACATGCTATTCTTCACTTTACACCTGTGCATGTGCCAGTACTTTGGAACATTTCACAAGTTCTAAATTTACTGTAGGCCCATGTATGTGTTTGAATCATTTACTATAAAGAGGAGGTTTTGAGGGTGTCTCCTCTTCTCCGTGCCACCCTCTAACACAGAGACACAGCTCCTCTGCCGCAGTGCAGGGAACAGCCAC